GGTTAAAACTTTGATGCGTCTGGCTCCTTTTCCACTTTAGTGGGCTGGTTGAAGATGAAATCCACTGAGGAGGGAGTGCTAGGTCTTCCAACACTACATGCGCCATCTAGACTTTGCTCTGGGGAAGCCTCCAAAATGTCTACAGACCTCTGCAAAATACAGTGGACCTGGATTTGAAGATTAACAAAGGGAGTTAAAGACTGATGGGAGCATAAAGGCAGAATGATGCTAAATAGTTCATAGATCCTGTAGTTCAGCATGATTCTTAGACAGAAGCTAGATTTATCTGATAGCAGAGAAATTAAATTTAAGACAATGCCAGATAGGAATCTCGCTCTCCTAGTCTAGACCTCTTTAGTGCTATAAATCTTGGAGATGACTGCATATTCTTTTTTAATGCATCAAAGTAGCTAATTCTTCATGTTAAGATGGAAACTGGGAAGGAGTCAGAGGCTTCCTTATGCAAGATGTATCCCCCATCCCAGACTGCAATGAGCACTCCAGCAATGCCCCTGGACCTGCAGCTTCCCCTGAGTTAAAGTTTCCAGTCTGCCTTGAGAGATCAAAGAGAACAAAAACTCAAGGAACATCTATTAAGAATAAAAACAGTTTTTGCACACAAACAGGAAAATCAGCTATTACCCAGTAGTAGAGGCCTAAGAGTGATGACACTTCAGGTTCAAGTTAAAGAAGGGAAAAACTTATGTGACCCTAGAAATCATCACAGTAATACCCAGGACAAAGTAAAGCAAGGCATAAGTAGCACCTCTGCCAGTGTTGCTATATAGAAAGGGCCTAATGAAAAAGAATTATTGTAATCAAAAACACTTTTATCTGGTGTCAGAACCAGTTTTTCTGAGGACATAAAAAGAATTAAGCCACTATCAAGAAGCATCACATCTGGAATTGTAGCCAGGCCTGCTTCATATTCTAATACTAAACTAATAGAAAAGTCAAAATCTATTGAGCATTGAAGACAAAAGCAACTGTTGAGAGTAGATCAGTCCTCAGACCAGCAGATGGCATAATAGTTACGTCTCTAGACTCCCACATAGTCAACCACGATTCAAGTCCCGGAACCAGCAGCTTAAAACTCAAGCCAGCATGTGTGTATGCATGCCCAAAAACCTAAGAGGAGCGTGGGAGAAAAGGGATTGTGGCATGGCCATCTCCCCACCTCAGGTGGTGATTTCTTGCTTTCTGTCTCTCCAGGGAGTGAGTGCACATGCCCTATAGCAAAAATCTCTTTAAAAAAAAAAATTCAGATGCCAAAAAACTTGTTCAACATTGGACATGTCTTACACATATGGAATCAATCACAAGTCCTATTACAAATGCTATCGCAATCTATGAACAGGCCATTCTGTCAGGGGTTCAGCCTATTGAAGAGATGTGTCATGCAATTGTAGGTATTACCACATTGAAGAATCAAGAAAAAGAAAAAGTTAATGCTGATAAAAATACTGAGAGCAGGGACCAGCAGTTAGCAAAATGACTATGTCGCTGGACTCCCATGTAGTCGACTGCGGTTCATGTCTCGGACCTGGTGGCTTAAAACTCACACCAGGCACGTGTGCGTGCGTGCCCAAGATCCCTAGAGGAGAATAGAGGGGAAGGGATTGCGGCGTGGCCATCCCCCCTGAGAGGTGATTTCTCGCTTTCTGTCTCTCTGTCTCTCTCTGGCGAGCGCACGCACCCTATAGCAAAAACCTCTTAAAAAAAAAAATACTGAGAGCGATTGTTTAACCAAAGAACAAATCCAAAAATTTGGCACTCAGTATATAGTTGTAAATCTGTAGCCATAAAAACCAGAAACGTAGAAGGATAATGAAAATGGGCAAGATGACAGAACAAAAGATTCAACCTGTGATGTTAAAATCCCCAATACAGAAACTAGGGAAGGTTGCTTTATTAAATATAATGAATCAACTACTCCATACTTGTAAAGTATAAAGAAAAAGGTACAATCTGACAAAATAAATTCTGCATTTAAAGAGCTGAAATTTTTGACACCAGTGAGACCATCTCAATGTCTTTAAGAGAAGACTTCTAAATTGCCAGATAATGTTAAAAGACCATTATCCTTTTGTGTCTTCAGTAGAACAGTTAACAGAATTAGGAAGTGAAACTGATATTTTTGTATGCTGCCCTAATGTAGCACTGTGCTGGACATACTTAGAGAATGAAACAGAGAATGAAACAGAAGAGGGATAAAGCTCTGATAAGAAATGGGGTTTTTATTATTACTGGTGTTTTGTTTGGTTTGGTTTGACTTGTAATTTGTTCACTTCACTAAATATAAGCACTAATGATTCATAATCAGAAAATGAGGTGTTCTAAGTAAAACTTGGTTTTGTTTTGAAATGTTTTTCAATTTTTATGGTATATTTTCCTGCCTTTAAACATACTTTTTTTTTTTGCCATTCTTTGATTAGTCTGAAAGTCAAAAATTGTAATATGTAGAGTGACTTTCTTCAAATATTAAAGCATACAATGTTTAGCTTGCATTGCCCCCAAGTTTGTGTTACCCAAGTTGGACTCTTTTGTATCCTTTGAACTGCTTATAGTTCTTTACTGTCACTTTTCATCAGTGACAGTAAGTCTGTATCTGTGATCTCTTGGCCTTTTTCTTTATACTGTAACTAAGGTCACTGAGAAACATAGTTAACTAAATTCTCCATTTCTAAGAGAAGATACTCTGTGTAAGAACAAAAGGTGGGGGCAGGCAGGTGGCGTGGTAATAAGGGTGCTGGACTCCCACATGGCCAACCATGGTTTGAGCCTCGGACCTAGCAGCTTGCTTTCTCACTTTCTCTCTCTTACTCTGTCCCTCTCTGGTCAAATTAAAAATAAATAAATAAATAAAGTTAAATAAAATATTTTTTTAAAAAAAGAAAGAAAAGATGATATATATAGTAGATATCCACGACTGTATCTATCTAAAATGTTAGCATTTTAATGTCCATGGCTTCATTTGATAGTTTATAAAGTATTGAATGGAAATAGGGGAAAAATATATAATATTTAATAAATGTTTTTCTAGTAAAATATCTGAAAAATACATTTGCTTTCTTCTTTATAAAAACTTCACTGTTGGTCAGCAGGTAGCATGGTGGTTAAGGACGCTGGACTCCTAGGTCGACCATGGTTCAAGTCCCAGACCAGGTGGCGCGCTTGCTCGCGCTCTCTCTCTCTCTCTCTCTCTCTCCCCACCCTTCCCTCCCTCTCTGGTTAAATTAAAATAAATAAAGTTAAATAACATAATTCTTTAAAAAAACAAAACAAAGAAAACTTCACTGTTAAATCATGTCCCCTGAAACATGGTAATTGCCCATAGTAAATAGTGTTCTTCTCCCCACACATAATACCACCATAAAATTATTCTCTAAGGCCCTAGACTAATACTTAAATGGCATACGTCTGTCAACTTTATAGTTTGAATTAAGTGATTTTTTTTTTTAATAGATTTTTGCTCTAGGGTTGAGAGCACTCACAGGAGAGACACACAAAGAGAGAAATTACCTTCTGGGGGGATGGTCATGCTGCACTCCCTTCTCCTCCATTGTCCTCTCCAGATTTTGGGCATGCATATACATGGACCCAGAATGAGTTTTAAACCACCAAATCCAGGACTCAAACCATATAGTCAACTATGTGGGAGTCCAGCAATGTACCTATTATGCTGTTTGTTGGTCCCAAATTAAGTGAATTTTTAATAGTGAAAGATTACTTTAAAAATGATGTGTGGGACTGCTGGTGGCCAGTAGGTGTGCTGGACATTCCCACATGGCTAATCGTGGTTTAAGTCCTAGACCCAGTGGCTTGTTTTCGTACTCCCTATGCCCCCTCTCTGGTCAAATTAAAATAAATAAATGAATAAAATTAAAGAAATAATTTTTTAAAAGCTTTATTTATTGGGACCAGCAGTTAGCATAGTGGCTATGTCGCTAGACTCCCATGTAGTCGACCATGGTTCTAGTCCCAGACCCGGTGGCTTAAACTCACGCCGGGCGCATGTGTGTGTGTGCCCATGATCCCAAGAGGAGAATGGAGAAGGGATTGTGGCGTGGCCATCCCCCCTGAGAGGTGATTTCTCGCTTTCTGTCTTTCTGTCTCTCTCTGTCTTCCTGGCGAGCACACATGCCCTATAGCAAAAAAACTCTCCAAAATAAATAAATAAATAAAAGCTTTATTTATTTAATTTCATTTGTTAGTATTATTATTATTTAATTTGACCAGAAAGAGACAGAAAGAGAGAAAGCCGCCAGGTCTGGGACTTGAACAGTGGTCGGCCATGTGGGGCCAGCAGGTGTCATGGTGGTTAAGGTGTTGTACTTCTACATGGCCAACCATGGTTCAAGTCCCAGACCTGGCAGCTTGAAAATCACACTGGGCACGTGTGCCCAAAATCCCAGGATGAGAATGGAGGAGAAGGGATTGCAGCATGGTCACCCCTTCTAGGGAGGGGTGGTTTCTCACTTTCCCTGTCTTTCCGGTGAGTGCATGTGCCCTATGGCAAAAATCTTAAATAAATAAATTAAAGTCCTCTTTTCGGCTGGAACCATGGAGAGTGTTCAAAAGAAAAAAAAGAAGGTTCCTACTGCGACAGAAACCAAGAAAAAGGTTCCTGCTGTGCCAGAAACCCTTAAGAAAAAAACAAAGGAATTTTGCAGAGATGAAGATCAAGCGCCTGAGAAAAAAGTTTGCTCAAAAGATGCTTCGAAAGGCATGGAGGAAGCTTATTCATGAAAAAGCTGAGCACTGTCATAAGGAATATAGACAGAGGTATAGAACTGAGACTCGCATGGCCAGGATGGCAAGAACAGCTGGCAACTTCTAGGTACCTGCAGAACCCAAATTGGCATTTGTCATCAGGATCAGAGGTATCAATGGAGTGTACCCAAAGGTTCAAAAGGTGTTGCAGCTTCTTCATCTTCGCCAGATCTTCAGTGGCACCTTTGTTAAGCTCAACAAGGCCTCAGTTAACATGCTGAAACTAACTGATCTATAAGCATGGTTATGGCAAAATCAATAAGCGAATTGCTTTGACAGATAACTCTTTGATCACTTGACCTTTTGGTAAATTTGGCATCATCTGCATTTCATAAATCAGGAGGGCCTGATTTATGAAATCTATACTGTTGGAAAACACTTCAAAGAAGCAAATAACTTGTTGTGGCCCTTCAGATTATCTTCTCCACAAGATGGAATGAGAAAAAGGCCACCCATTTTATACAAGGTGGAGATGCTGGCAATAGGAAAGACCAGATCAACAGACTTATTAGAAGGATGAACTAAGGTATCTACCATGATTATTTTTGTAATCTGGTCAGTAAATAAACACAGTGCCTGTTTTCAGACTGAAAAAAAAAAGAAGAGAACAGGGGTTTTTTTGTATTTTTTTTTTTTTTTTGGAGAGGTTTTTGCCATAGGGCATGTGCCCTCCTCAGACAGATAAGAGAGGCAGAAAGTGAGAAATTACCCCCTGGGGGGATGGCCACGCCACAATTCCTTCTCCTTCATTCTCCTCTCAGGATTTTGGGCACGCACACACACGCGCCTCATGTGAGTTTAAGCCATCAGGTCCGGGACTCGAACCACAGTCAACTACATAGGAGTCTAGCAACACAGCCATTACACCATCTGCTGGTCCCAAAGAGAACAGTATTTTATTATTTCCTTTGCACCACTTACATTTTTACAAATTGATTCTATAAAACTATTTCTGGTGAGAAAACTCAGCCTCCATTTTTTCCCCCTTGTATACAATATTCTTATTGTATACACATAAGGTACATAGTTTAAAGAATAAAAATCCTACTGTAGAATGAAAATATAATAAAACAAAGATAATATACAAATGGAATGAACATAAACAAGACTAAGTACATAAACTTCAACTACATAAATCATTCTTTTGTTTTAAAGAATTATTTTACTTTATTGTTATTATTTTTAATTTGCTATAGGGCATGTGTGCTCACCAAAGAGAAAGAGAGAGAGAGTGAGAAAGCAAGCCCCTAGGGACTGGACCACGGTTGGCCATGTGGGAGTCCAGTGCTTTAACCACTACATCTGCTGCTGGCCTCTCTTCTTAACTTTTTTTTTTTTTAAATTTTATTTCATTTATTATTACTATTTTTTAAATTTACTATAGGACACGCACACTCACCAGAGAGAGAGAGAAAGTGAGAACGTGAGCCACTAGGTCCAGGACTCAGACAGCAGATACCAGTCAACTTAACCACAACTCTACCTGCTGGCCCCACTCTTCAGTCATTCCTAAATTCTTTGCTGAACTGTAAGCTCTAAGAAAGCAGGATATCTTCCTTATCTGTAATGCTTGGCCCAAAATAGGATACTGAAAAAAATATATATATTTAAAGTGCATTAATATCTCCATTGATTAATTCTTAGAAGTGACAGCTATCTTAATGGCATTTCAGCAAGCCATTTACATGTAATAACTGGGACTTAAACTCTGATGTAAAATGTATATGTTGGTATTAAGCCATTTGAGTACCCGTGATGCTTTTTAGTTTTGCTGCAGGGTGTATGTATTCACCAGAGAGAGAGAAAAAAAGTAAGACACCATCCCCTAGGTGGATGTCTACACCGTAGTCCTTTCTCTTCCATTCTCCTTTCAGGATTTTGGGCACAGATACACACATGTCCAGCATGATTTTCAAGCCACAGGGTTCAGGATTTGTAAAGTTTCCACATTCAGTTTTATTTCCATGTGGTCTGTTATGAGTGGTTATTGGCCAGGGCTGATTTTACTTTCCAAGAGACATTTAGTAATGTCTGGAATCATGTTTTGTTGTCACAGTGGAACAAGAGGGTACTAGTAGTATCTAGTTGGGTAGAAGCAGGGAAGCTGCTAAACATCCAACAATGCACAGGACAGCTCTTTTGGCAAAAGATGATCTAACCCAAAATGTCAGTTGAGATTGAGAATCTCTGTTCTTACTGGATGTTACTGAGTCATAACTTGTAAATGTTACATTGTACTGTGTGACAAAAGATTAGCTGTAATAAGTCAATATTTGGTTTTCTTTTTTGACATTTTAGTATAAAGGTGCACATGTAAAGCCAGGATTTGCTGAACATTTCTACAGTAACCCTGCAAGATACAAAGGAAGAGAAAATATGTTGGTATGTTTGATTTATATTTTTATAACTTAAAATGGTAATATTTCAGTTCCATACTGACACTTATTTTTTCCTAGTATTATGATACGATTGAAGATGCCCTTGGTGGGGTTCAAGAAGCTCATTTTGATGGACTTATTTTTGTTCATTCTGGAATATATACTGATGAATGGATATATATTGAATCTCCAATCACCATGATTGGCGCAGGTATTTCGAAATGCGTTGTCATGAAAAATTTTTTCATTGTACTTGTATTATTTGATTTACATGTTAGGTTTTTAAAATGCTAGGGACTTAAAATCCAGTTGAACTTTGATAATGCTTCATTGGTAGGAAAGACTAGAAATAAAATTATCACATCTTATGTGAAGGAAATGAAAACATTATGCATTAGAACTACAGATATATATAGATATATTTCTTGATATCAGTAAAGAAACAGTAAAGACAGAATGTGAAACTTAGTTTTATTTTTTTATTTGAAAATAAAGATTTAAATGTTTTGTTGCAATTTTCAAAGAAACTGAAATGTTACTTTCTAATACCTTCTAATGCTTTTTGTACTGTTTCAAAGCTATTTTCATGGTCAAGTTTCTAAGAGTAAACGTAATGAATTATTTGTTGAACACTGATGATCATGTGAAGATTTGTGCTATTTCTGTTTTTTGAGGTTACAGTACAGAAACCATTCTAAAATAGTAATGATTGTTTAATAATCTATATTTATTGTCTCTCCTGCTTTGTTTTTCCATCTCTTTTATAAAGAATGAGGGAGAGAGTATAGAAATGTTTGCCTAGTTGATTTTGTTATTTTCCAAATTGAGGCCACTATTAGAAATAAATTTAAATGAAGTATCTTTTTCTCTTTTCTTCTTTCCCTGAGACTCCTTTTTCAGTGTTGCTGCTGGTAGTGATTTTGTTTCTACAAGAAGCCATTTTAAATATTTCGTTGCATTTGATAATGCTATTTATTATTGACTCTAATTAGAGGTATTATTATACATGAATTTGAATATAATGGTAGTCAAAAAATATCCCCATTAAATACGTATCACTGCTCAAACTAAAGACAGATGAAATACCATTATCTGATAAAATGAATATTAGTTCTACTCAATACTCATATTTTTATTAATACTAATGTTTCTTTTCCAAAAGTACTCATCTATGAAAATGAAATAAAGATAATATGCTTTAAAATATCTTCTCCACAGCACCTGGAAAAGTAGCAGACAAAGTTATAATTGAAAACACTAGAGATTCAACCTTTGTTTTTATGGAAGGTTCAGAAGATGCTTATGTTGGATATATGACAATAAGGGTAGGAAATTCAGAATTTTTTAATGTACATATTGAAATCATTAAGGCAGTAGTTGTTTATTTCAAAAGGAAATTTCTACTTTTTAGTTCAACCCTGATGATAAATCTGCTCAACACCACAATGCACACCACTGCTTAGAGATTACGGTAAATTGTAGCCCTATTATTGATCACTGTATCATCCGAAGTACATGTACAGGTAAGTGTTTCCTTTCTTTTACAATAAAATTGAGTCACTGTGTTGTTGCCCAGAAAGTTTTTTAATAAAGAAGTATTTTTTTCTCATAGTTGGTTCTGCAGTATGTGTTAGTGGTCAAGGAGCATGTCCGACTATCAAGCACTGTAACATCAGCGACTGTGAAAATGTTGGGCTTTATATAACAGATCATGCACAGGTAATTTAAATTTTAGTTTTGTTTTCTTTTTCCCAGAGATTTTTGCAATAGGACCAGTGCACTCAATGGAGAGACAGAGAGAAAGAGAGGTTACCTTCCCAGGGGAATGGCCACACCTTGGTCCCTTCTCCATTTTCCTCTCAGGATTTTGGGCATGCATGCACATGCACACAGCATGAATTTTAAGCCACCAGGTCTGGAACTCAAACTACCATGTGGGAGTCCAGCCACTGCTCAAACTAAAGACAGATGAAATACCATTATCTGATAAAATGAATATTAGTTCTACTCAATACTCATATTTTTATTAATACTAATGTTTCTTTTCCAAAAGTACTCATCTATGAAAATGAAATAAAGATAATATGCTTTAAAATATCTTCTCCACAGCACCTGGAAAAGTAGCAGACAAAGTTATAATTGAAAACACTAGAGATTCAACCTTTGTTTTTATGGAAGGTTCAGAAGATGCTTATGTTGGATATATGACAATAAGGGTAGGAAATTCAGAATTTTTTAATGTACATATTGAAATCATTAAGGCAGTAGTTGTTTATTTCAAAAGGAAATTTCTACTTTTTAGTTCAACCCTGATGATAAATCTGCTCAACACCACAATGCACACCACTGCTTAGAGATTACGGTAAATTGTAGCCCTATTATTGATCACTGTATCATCCGAAGTACATGTACAGGTAAGTGTTTCCTTTCTTTTACAATAAAATTGAGTCACTGTGTTGTTGCCCAGAAAGTTTTTTAATAAAGAAGTATTTTTTTCTCATAGTTGGTTCTGCAGTATGTGTTAGTGGTCAAGGAGCATGTCCGACTATCAAGCACTGTAACATCAGCGACTGTGAAAATGTTGGGCTTTATATAACAGATCATGCACAGGTAATTTAAATTTTAGTTTTGTTTTCTTTTTCCCAGAGATTTTTGCAATAGGACCAGTGCACTCAATGGAGAGACAGAGAGAAAGAGAGGTTACCTTCCCAGGGGAATGGCCACACCTTGGTCCCTTCTCCATTTTCCTCTCAGGATTTTGGGCATGCATGCACATGCACACAGCATGAATTTTAAGCCACCAGGTCTGGAACTCAAACTACCATGTGGGAGTCCAGCACCTTAACCACTATGCCACTTGCTGACCCCTTTTTTTTCTTTTTTAATTTTTGTAAAGCTGTGCTAATGTTTGTTTCTGATTAATTGATACAGGGAATATATGAGGATAATGAAATTTCCAATAATGCTTTAGCTGGGATTTGGGTTAAAAATCATGGAAACCCAATTATTAGACGGAATCATATTCATCATGGACGTGATGTTGGTGTCTTCACATTTGATCATGGCATGGTAAGAACATTTATTCTTAATAGAAAAACTGACTACTATATCAATTAAATTTCAAATATATGTTATAGCATTATTTTCTCATCACTAAATTATCTGAATTGAAAAGTATAGGTTTAAAAGCAATTTCGGTATTTTTAAATCAGTATGCAAAAATTTATAAATCCCTGTATGAAATATTACATACATGTGGAGAGATGAGAGAGTCGTTAGGGAAGTGATATGCTCTTTAAGGGAAGTAAGGTCTTATTCAGTAGTTAGTTCTCAAATGTAAGTATGGATAGAATCACCCAGAAGCTGTTTTTAATGAAAATTCCTATATCTTCCCTAGGTATAATCAATAAGAATTTGTGAGGTTGGGGCTCAGGATATATACATTTTTAATAAACACCATAAGTGAGTCTAACACAGATTATCTGTAAAATACACTTTGAGAAATAATAGTCTTGTTACTTTGATTTCTGTGTTATTCCTCTTAAATATTTTTTAATTGGCATAACTTTAATAAGAGATAATGTTAATAAAATATGTTTAAGTGTTATATAGCAGTTATGTTCAGATTATACTGTGTTTTAAATACTACTGTCTTAGTTTTATAGAGTTTTCTAGATACATGACCTTTTTAGTTCTCTGATAACACTGTTTAATTTTTATTTATTTACTTGTGTTTTCATGAGAGAGAAATACGGGAACCCAGAGTCTCATCACTCCATAATCCCCTCCCCAAGTCAGCCAGGATGGTGGGCATGTACACATGTATGGTCAGCAAGGTTAAGGTCAACCAGGAATCTGAACCACGATTAGACATGTGGTGCTAATGTTACAAAGCTGCATGCTACCACATGGCTAGGCCACTATTTCAAAATAATATTATTTGATATCTGTCCAGCTATTCTTTTCATTTAATGTCTAATTTTCCTTGAGTTAATTTTCAGTATTAGCAGAATATTTTGTTGATGGATCAATGAAATAGGAAAGAAAGTACAGTAGTAACATATTGACAAATAGGAATATGGTAAGCTATATGGTATTAACTAAACAACCCAAGAACATTGCATTCACATATACAGATTGCCAGTGGCAGAGAAAATTGATAATTTACATTGTTTGTGCCTGGAACCTATGCAGAACTCCCCCCCCCCTTTTTTTTTAGAGAGAGATTTATGCTATAGGGCATGTATGCTTGATGGAGAGACAGAGAGACAGAAAGCAAGGAATCACCCCCCTCCCCCCGGGGGGTGGCCATACCCAATCCATTCTCCTCCAGTCTCCTCTCAGGATCTTGGGCGCACATGCACCTGGCGTGAGTTTTAAGCTGCCAGGTCCAGGTCTTCAACCGCGGTAGACTACATGGATGTCCAGCAATGTGACCATTACGGCATCCGCTGGTCCTACAGAGAGTCCTGTTTTAAACTTAACTAGACCATGAGGTCTATAGTATCCTAATTAGACCTAGATATTTTCAGATCAGAGGACAGTTGGTCATATTAGCCAGTTCCTATTGTAACTGACTGTAACCTAAGAAAGACAATTTACTTGGAACTTGGGCAATAACTTTGACCCTTAGGAAAACAAAGTAGAGATGAACATTTATGGCTTTCAGTTGGAATAAAAAATCATTTTCTTCTTTTAATTCATTCATCGTCTTTTTTTTTTTTTTTTTTAATTTTGACCAGAGAAAGGCAGAGAGAGAGAGAGGGAAAGTTAGAAAGCAACCCACCAGGTTCGGGACTTGAGCCGTGGCCATGTGGGAGTCCAGTGCCTTAACCACCATGCCACCTGCTAGCCCCAGAAATCAGCTTTTTCAGGAGCCAGCTGGTGGCATGGTGTTTAATGTGGATCCCACATAGCCAATTGTGCAGTTTGAGTCCTGAACCCGGTAAATTGAAAAACCACACAATGTACATGTTCATGCATGCCCAAAATTCCAATAGGAGAATAGAAAAGGATTATAGTGTGGCCATCCCCCACTGGGGGGAAGTTGCTTTCTCACTTTCCTTCTCTCTCTCTCTCTCTCTCTCTCTCTCTCTCTCTCTGTCTCTCTTTAGCAAGTGCAGGTACCATATAAAAAAGAAATTGTTTGCAGCAGCAGATGGTGTGGTGGTTAAGGGCACTATACTCTCACATGGCCAACCATGGTTTTAAGTCCCAGACCTGGCAGCTTGCTTTCTCGCCCCCCGGCCCCCTCAGTCTCTTAGTCTCTCCCTCTATCCCTCTCTGGTCAAATTAAAATAAAATTTTAAAATAGTAAATTTAAATGAAATTATTATTTTTTAGAAAAGAAATTGTTTTTTTGTTGCAGAGTATAAGCTCTTTTTCAAGGGAGAGAGGAATTTAGAAGGAATCTGGGTAAAGGTATAGAGGAAGTCAGAAACAAAAGATTGAGAATCCACCCTCTTTTGTAGACTTCCTTATTGGCTGTGGTTCACAAAAAGAACTGTAATTTTGTGATGGAATTATACTGTACTGGTATTTTATTGTGTATGTTGTCTTTAGGCTGTGTCCCAGAGTTATATACAAGTCAAATGTCACATTTATGTATACTTTTGTCTCTTTCACAAATGATTTGAGGTACCATGATAACTTTTTTAAAGTTTGTTTATTCATGATAAAAATGAAAGAGTGAAAGGGAGAAGGTACAAAAAGGTACCCTCGTTAGAGTTTCGTCATGACACAATCCCTTTACCCTAGCTAGCCAGAATGTCAAGATCTGGAGTGTACATGCATATACCCAGTACATTTCAGGTTGACCAAGCTGGTATCTGAAACTTCAGTTTGCCATATGGCTTCCAGCACTGAAATTAAGCATGATAACTATCATCTGTGGCACTAAACCTGGGCTGCCAAGATCTATTTTTTTTTTTTTTTTTTTTTTTTTGACATAGGGCAAGTGTACTCACTGAGGAGAGACAGAGAAGATAAGTGAAAAATCACCCTCCAGGGACAATGAGCACACTGCATTCGCTTCTCTTCCATTCTCCCCTTTGGGTTTTAGACATGCATGCACCCGTACCAAGCTTGTTGTTCTCTTTTTAAAGAATTACTTATTGAATTTCATTTATTTATTTTAATTTGACCAGAGAGACACACACACAGAGAGGGAGAGTGAGAAAGTAAGCCATCAGGTCGGGGACTCAAACCATGGTTGGCCATGTAAGAGTGTCTAGCGACTTGACCACCATGCCACCTGTTGGTCCCCTTTCTGTTTGTTTGTTTTTTTGTTTTTTAATAATTATTTATTCAACTTTATTATGGTCATTACTTTTTCACCTTGATTGACAAGAGACAGAGAGAGGTAAAGAAAGTCACCCACTCTGGGGTTTGAACCATGGTTGGCCATGTGGGAGTCCAGCATCCCAACCACCATGCCACTTGCTGACCCCACCAAGCTTGTTTTTCAAGCCACAGAGTCCAGGACTCGAACCATGGAGTCAGCCATGTGTAATCCAAGCCCTCTAACCACCATGCAACCTGCTGGCCCTGCCAGGATTATTTTCACCTGGGTATAAGTTCCTCATTTTTCAAAAGACCTGTGTTGGTGGTCCCTTACTAAATTTGACCATAGTAATTTATTCTTTTTTTTTTTTTTTTTTTTTTTGGGGGGGGTTTTTTGCTTTTTTTCTTTTTTTGGAGAGGGTTTTTTGCTATAGGGCGTGTGCGCTCGCCAGAAAGAGAGATACAGAAAGCGAGAAATCACCCCCAAGGTGGGATAGCCACGCCACAATCCTTTCTCCTCCATTCTCCTCTCGGGATCTTGGGCACGCACTCACACACGCCCAGCGTGAGTTTAAGCCACTCGAACCGTGGCCGACTACATGGGAGTCCAGCGACGTAGCCGTTACACTAACTGCTGGTCCCAATAATTTATTCTTTATGACACACCCCTTATATAGTTCATTTTGTAAAGTTTTATGCTTATAAATATTGCAGCATTTTAAAAAAATAATTTTGGGCAGTGCTATAGATAGATTTCCCCTTAAGGATTTATGAACCTTGTGACATTATAGACATGTAAGATAAGGATGGAAATAAAGCACATCCTGAGCCTGTCTTAACTGTTGTATCTGCGTTAGTATTGTGACAAAAGTCCTTAAAAAACATTTTATGGAATATTATTTCATCCCAAGAATTCTTTTGTTTCTCTTCTCTTGGCAGTTATGATTGTTGGATGACATCCATCACTAAGGATAATATTTTAAATTTGGCTTTGTTTTCTATAAGGTTTCAAAAATTATCATAATAAAAAAAAATTTTTGGAGAGATTTTTGCTATAGGGCATGTGCATTTGCCAGAAAGACAGAGAGAGACAAAGTGAGAAATCACCCCCCAGAGGGGCTGGCCACGAAGCACTCCCTTCTTCATTCTCCTCATGGGATCTTGGGCACACATGCAAACGCGCCCGGCATGAGTTTAAGCCACTGAGTCTAGGACTCGAACCGCGGTCTATCACATGGGAGTTCAGCAACATAGCCATTACGCTAACGGCTGGTCCCCATAATAAAAATTTTAACTAGCAGCAGTACTGTTTTTAAATGTATTTCTATTGTTTTCTGAAATTTTCCTCTTCCTTATCTATGACATACTTAGAATTCCTGTATTTTAAGAATGAATTTTAAAAGACTTGCCGCTCTTTTTATTTTAAAAAAAATAATCGGGGCCAGCAGATGTCATGGTGGTTAAGGGCACTCCAACATGCGTTATTATAGTTTAAGTCCCAGGCCCAGCAGCTTGCTTTCTCATTTCCCCTCTCTCTCTCACTTTCACTCTGTCCTTCTCTGGTCAAACTAAAAAAATAAATGAAGTTAAATAAAATAATTAATTTTTAAAAAATCAATATTTTTGTAAAAATTCTATATGCCCAGTTTAAGTATTTCTCTTGATTTTGAAAGGGTATGACCGTAGAGTTTGTCATTGTTAATCTGTGTTTTCTAAAGTATGAACTCTTTGGAAAATAAAAAAATAAACATAATTTATATTGTAGCCAGTGTCTACTCTCATTATTC